AAACGCAGTCCCACGTGTTACGGCTCTCCCCGCCTCTTCCTCATCCCCTCCCTCCCCCCCCGCTCTAAATCGGCCCCTCCCACCCAGTTTAGTTCTCCCCGCCCCGGGAAGAGGCGGGGAAGCAGGCGGAGCGAAGAACGCTCGCGGTCTTTCATTTACATGCAGCCACTCTATTGGCTAAGGCTGACTACGAGCGGAGGAAGGAGGGGCGGAGGAGTTGTCAAAGTGAACTTCACGGATTGGCTTAACAGTACGACGACGTAAAAGAGGGCAGTCTAAGCAAATGAAAGCGCCTGGCAAATGCGTCTCCTCCCTCTTGCCCCACCTAGTTGGGAGCAACCCAATGAAAGAAGAGCCTGTGAGGCACATTTTCTTGAATATTTAAATGAGAAATCTAGAACTCATTTGAATATTCACGAAGAGGCGGGGAAGTGTAGCGTGTCCCCCGGAAACGCTTCTGATTGGCTGGTTTTCTCAAGCTTTAGCTTCTGGAAACACGCTTGCCTCTCACCAAACAATTAAATGATTGCTGCATTTTTTTTCCCTCAAAAGCGCCATGTCATATACACCTACTTTTTTTCTTGGAAATTGATTTCATGTGTGGTCCGACTGGCTCAACTTTGTCACTCTTTCGCTCTCAATATATTTTATTTTTTGTAACTCAAGTTCCATTTTCAGCAATTTTTAAAATGCAAAGTTGTGGGACAGATGGAAACAATTAGAACCTCGCTCTGCTGATGTGTATAATCTTATTAGTTTAATGGGTCACAGGGCGCAGGACCCATTTCCTATGGATCAAAGTGAAAACAAACACGGTTAATAACCCATTTTGTTTTAGAACCACATCGGATCGGGTTCCCTCTGTCGGCCGTGGTAATGACAATATTAAGAGATCTTGGGTTGCCTTGAAGTTTAGAGGGCAAATGGAGTCATTGAAATATTCTGGCTTAAAAACGCATTAATATTAACACCAGGTAGCCGTTTGCCAGTTCCCTGAGTTCTCTTGAGTTTATCACAATGGCATGGTTATTAAAGGATTTCAGTATCGCTTGTTTTCATATGTTGCGTTAAAGCAGGCGAAAACTCGTGGCTAGTTCGCTGCTAATTATACCAGCTTCTCAGATTTCGTCTATTCAGGCCCAACATAAGGCTTCGGAGCTCTTGGTGTAAATTTCAACTTATGGCTTCTTAATGATTTTTTTTCCTTTATCTGTAGGTGGTGGTCACAAACTTTTTTCAAAACTTGATTTTCAAGAAGTTAAAGAGCCCCACAACTGCTACCCAAAATTTAACTTTCCATTTGAGGGAGTTCTAAGGCCAGTTCGCAGATCCCTAAGCATCCGTGGACCCTAGTTAGCAATTCATGCCTTAAGGAAATGTTTTTCATATTTTGGGTTGTGTTTGAGTGTGTTTTTCTGAGGCAAAAATATAATCTTCCAAGCACGTAGGGGTTGGGCCGCGGCCTCTCTCTTCGTGCAAAGGCCCCCTTTGGAAACCCCCCCTCAGTAACTTCTCACCCCAATAAATTAAGTGCAGCCACAGTGTGGTCCATTACCCGGGAGTGTGAGGTGACGGCGCCTGTCAAAGGTGGCCGGCTGAATACAGACCCTTAAATATTCCTACAGATAATAAATATCTGTGCAAGAAACGGATGTAAATAATAGGTTCCTATTCGTTTAGAAAGCTCTGAAGTACAGCAATGAAATAACGCATTGCAGACTTGATGAATGCTCCCAAGTTCTTCACAAAGGTGGGGAGGCATGTCTTGGAAATATTTTGCCCTGGGCCTGGAGGCCCGGTGCAGAGCTCTAGGCACTGAGGACACCAGCACCTCTGCGAGTTCCTCAGCGGGGCCTCTAGGAATGTAAATACTACGAGTTTAAACAGGCCGGGGCCCCGGAAAGTGCGAGCAGTGCTTATTAGCAAATCATTTAAATTCCGAAGCTGTCGAGAGAATATCTGCTTTCCCTTTACCGCGCGGGGCTGGGATTGCTAAGAGAGGGGCTGGGATTGCTAAGAGAGAAAGCTGTTCTTATCATTCTCTCCTTGTGAGTTAGGAAACAGTGTCTTTGAGTCCTGGGCTCCGTATTCATAGTTTCTGGGGTGAGTTCACACACGTGCCCAGAGGCAAAGGCCACCTTGCACCCTGGGGCTGCAGGCGCTCCCTTCCCGGTACTCGCTGCTGTGTTCAGAAACCAAAGTTGAAAAGCGTGGAGCACACTGCAAGGACGTCTGACATCTGGGACAGACGTGGCTACTCCATCCATGGCCGTGACGGCCCCGCAGATAAACCCTGAAGGCCTTTTTAAAATTTGCCCTTGAATTTTATTATTTTGGCGCTTAATCTTTAAATCTTTAAACATGCCTCAACATATCACAGTCCCCCCACCTTTTTGGGGGGGGTTATATCTCTCTTGAGGTTCTCTATGCCTTTAACTTTATTTTGGGAAACTATTATTCCCTCCCCATGGGGATAATGATCAAATCTCCAATCTGTTATTTCCTGGAATTTAATCCTGCTTTTACTTATGGATCATAAAATATTTAAACCGTTAAAAATGTATCCATCTCTGAACAACTTTAGAGTTATTTTAAGCTTTTAAAAATGGAAATATAATCCTGGTGTGTGTGTATGTGTGTGTACCTTATTATAGACAGACCATGTTAATCTCCCTTCCACGGAAAAAAGAACATTTACATGTGTGAATCCAAGTAATTATTCATCTATGATAATTAATTCTAACAGGCTTGATTTTTCGTTTTCGAATACACTTTTTTTTGGTATCTAATATTCAGGGACAATAACAACATTAAAAAAAATCTTCCGGTGTAGTGAAGGGACCTGGCTTAGGTCCAACAACAGATACCCTTTCTTATTTTCTTTTTTGTTTTCTTTCTTTCCTCCCCCCCCCCCCCTTAGTCAACAGTCTCCTTCAGTTGTTTATTTTAGCCTGGTGAGCCCAAGCTGTAAACTCCACGTAAACCAGGGGTCGGTTTTGAGACACTCGCGTCCCTCTCGGGATATGACACGCTTAAAATTTTGTTTACTTATTGTTACTGCTGGGAACGTGGGCCCTTGTGATGAAGACCTTCCTGGCCTTCCTGGGCAGGTCTGCTCCCTAGCTCCACCGCGATGGCTTTTATTTAGGGAGGGCTAGCCTGTGGATTCAGGTGATATTTCCCTCAATCTAAGAGTCAACTGCAAGGTGCTTGGTCCACACCTGGAGTTTTCCGCGCGGAAAAGCCGGCAGAAAATCCTCGACTTGATTTTTACCATCACACCGGGATGGCCCCCTCCGGACTGGAGGCGGACCCTTCACCGCTTCCCCGGCGCTCCTGGCCCAGCGGTGCCACTAGCGCGCTGTCCAGCGCTGAGTTACAGGCCTCGATCCAGCCAAGATCAGAGGCTGCAGGACTCGCTCGGCTTTCAAGGGGGCTCTACTACCGGAAGTCATTTGATAAATCTGAGTCAGGCCTTTCCAATCTTTACTGCTCGGCAGAGCATTGCAAATCTCTAAACACGCTGTAACCTTCTTGTAACAGTGCTCTAGACACACTTGAAGGTTGGGTTTTATTTTAGGGCCCAGCGGAATGGAAGTGGCCACTTCAGGGGCCCCCTCTGTGGTCGGGCCCGCTCCCTTTCCAGCGTCTTCCCGAGACCATCTCCTCCTCCAGTAAGCCGATTCCCGCGCATCCACCCGCCCACCCAGCCCCAGGAGCCCTTCTGCCCCGGGAGGCCGCCGATGACCTCGGGCTGGAGGATCACCCCGCGCCCCTGCAGCGGGCGATGGGGAGAGAACCTCTCGGGAACCGAGCAGGACCGGCGGGGGTGGGGCGGGTGATTTATGGCCCTGATCAACTTTTTAGGAAGCAGAAATTAACCTGAAGGGGATTAGGCTCGAGCTTTGAAGTTCACGGTTTTGTTTTCCTTCAACTCAGCCCTGCGATCAAATAGTTCTTAGTTCCTTTTACCCGCCGCCTCCTCCTCCTCCTTGGGTCTCTCATCACCCCACTCCTATTCCCCAGCAACGCTTCCTGCACGGATTTTCGTAATTTCAGGTAGAAATATCTCCAGACCAGCGACTGAAGTTCCTGACTGTGACCTAGCCATCAGAGACACTGTCTGTCCACATCCCTGACTTCTTGGAATCATGTTTTACGTTTGAAACTGCCATTTGTATTTGGAGGTCGGGAGTAGCAAATTTGTATCCGTTTTTTCCTTTGCTCTTTCCCGCTTATTCTACCCCTGGGGACTGGTATTCCCCCGCAGAGCAAAAGTGCAGCCATTGTAGGGGTGGTCGGCGGCTCCGTGGGTGACCGCTAACTTCTCAGCGTGTTCTGCAGGTATTGTGGGTTTGTAGATTCCTCCCCTTGTTGGCCCGAAAATTCAAATACAAACTTGAATGATCTGCCTTGCCGCCCTACACTCTTACCTTGGCCCCCTTTATTCCATACCCCCAGACTCCCCTCCCCCGCAACTGCAGGTTTCCAAGGGGAATCTGTCTCCTGCGGTTCTTTCCCGCAGGCGCCTGGTGAAAAGGCAATTTCCTTGGGGGTGTGGTTGGGGCGAGAGAAAAACAGAAACCAGGATTGTTTGGGGCCTGAAACCATCCAAGTTTTATTACATCCGCTACAAAGTCAACTAACTCTTAATGAGCATCCAAGCGGAAAAAGGCCGAGGTTTACTCCTTGTTAAGGCGGGGGGGAGGTTGGGGGGGATACTTTGCGTATTTCTTTCTCTTGTAACACCTTACCGAGAGGCTCTTCCCAACGTCAAGAATACAGACACGAAAGTGGAAGGCATCAGGTTTCAGCTCCCTGAGTGATCGAAGATCATTCGGCCACGAGGACCTTCGAAGTTGGCCCTGTCTACAGCTTGTAATGAAAAGGATAATCTGTCTTGCAATAAAAAACAGGACCCACACAAACAAACCCGGCATCCAACTACCTTCCCCTGCGCCTCACTCTTCCCTAATAAGGGCCAGTGACAAATATTGCCATCCAGTTCCACCCTAAAAAGAGGAAGCAGTAGATCTTCCTTTTAATAACTTCCCAAAGTGTTACAAATAATAAAAGGGACGCATAAATCATCGCGGGGTCGGCTGAACGTGGACCACGGAAGGATTTACCCCTCTCAATCCTTGACTTTCAACCGCGATCTCATTGGCTGCTTCCTTGTAGCCCGGCCCCCAAATCCGCCCTCTTATTGGTCCATCAGGCGGGGTGACGCACGGAAAGGGCGTGGGGTCGGTAGGGGCCGGAGTCCATCAGCGCGCATGCACCTTATGGCGCGAGCGTGTGATTGACAGCGAGGGGGATGTGCGCGCGTGCGCGTGCGTAGTGCGTGTGCGTGTGCGTGTGCGTGTGCGTGTGTGTGGTGGTGGTGGGGGTGATGGTGGTGTTAGTGGTGGCGATGAGCGGTCGAGATGAAGCTGCTTCTGCCGGTTCGGTGGCTGCAGTCCTCTTTGCGGGCATTTTCCGCAGAGTCAGAAGGGCTGACAGTTACAGACCACGCACTTACCGGCTCGGGAGACCGTCTGGAAGCGATTTACTGAGGAGGGTCTCCAGCAGCAGGCTAATTGGGGAAGGAGTAAAGAGAAGTAGAAGGCATGCATGCTTTACTGGGTCTGAAGAAGATAGTCAGAAATCCTGAAAAAGAGATTTAATTTTACTACCTTGTCGATTTGTGCGTTCCTTGTAAAGCACACACTAAATCATGCTTCATATCAAAGCCGAGCCTTCATATGCACCGCACACCCCACTTCCTCTCAGATTGACACAGACCGGTTTGGTCCCTCTGCACACGGGTACACACGTCTTAGCTTCCCGTAGTTATGCAAACCAGCAATCCAGGGCGAACTTTCAAGACCCGGAACACTGTGATCCTTAACTGGAAGAAAGACAGAAAAAAGAGGAGTAAAGAAACGAAGAAGAAAAGAAAACTAGAAATATGTAGCAACCAGTAAAACAATAGTGTCAAAGATAGTGAAGGAAAAACCCGTTGGCTATTGAATGTAAAATTTGAAATTAATTTCCCAATCCGGTCAATGCCGTAGAAGCAACTCCAGTTTATTGCAATGCTTGTTGTTAACGCCTCGTACAAAATTCTTCAGAGGCGAGGGCTGGCTTAGTGGAGAGGAGAAACGTTTCTCCGTTGCCCTGTTGCTGCCAAATTCTGGTTTCGGAGAAGTTTCTTCGGCGTGCTGGAGCTGGGGAGGAGGCTGGAGAGTGTTTTCCTATTACAAGGTGTTATGTCGTTGGTTCGTGTTTGCACATATTTTAGGGAGATAATAAATGTCTCATAGCTCTGCACATATTTTAAATTACACTAGCCCTAGCTGAATTTTGTAGCTGGCAAATCAAAGCTTCGGTTTTACGAATTCTGAAATTTAAAACTTGCAATTACCTCTTCGCGGGCCCTGAGATTTTTTTCTTTTGTTTTTATTTTGGGGTGTGTGTGTGGGCGGGGGAGAAATGTACAAATACAAGTATTACAAAATCTCCATTCAAGTACTCTCCTGTCTGTGAGTGCACGGTAAATAAATTTTAAAAGCAGAGTGGTGGAAATATATGACTGTTAAAAGCAAAATAACGTTCTTTTAAATCCCCCCCTTGGTGCATTTTTTTCTTTTGAAGCAGTGCTTTCAGCCTGCCTAAGATTGAATGTAGTGTTTTTACATCCTCACAGTAATTTTATTTAGAAGCCCCATGTTCACCTTTAATTTTAAAATTATCATTTATGACACGAAATTATTAGCACCCATATTCTCTTAGCGTTTCAATATGCTTTTTACTATTTATGTATATTTTAAAACAGCAACCATTAAATAAAATTAGTAAACAAGGCTTTGATAGCTGCTTATTTTTGTTTAATCGAATGTCTGTTTTATTAGATAAATATACACTTAAATTTATTTTGAAATAAAGAGCAAAATAATACTTTTCTTTCGCTTTGCTAGAACAAACTGATTTTTCATTCTTCTCCGTCCGATTCTTTCCCTTCAGCTGCCACAGTCGACTGAAAAGCTCCTACGGACCGGCCGACTAGTATGCAAATTTCAGATGATTGACACGTAGGGTAGAAACCAATCACGCTGTAGTAGGTTGCTGATTGGTTGACAAATATTTGACGTAATATTGACGTTTTAAAAGACTAACATCCAATCAAGGCAATTCATGCAAATAAAGGAAGGAATCAGATTACTAGCTGCCGGGGAGACTTAAGCGCGCCCTCACGTGTTCAGTGGTGGATATTGCACAGATGCCTGCACAGTGAATAAACGCAGCAAAATATTCAACTCCACAGTTCGCCTTCACCGTTCCCAAACTTCTATGTTACTGGAATATAATCATCCGTCTTAAAAAACCAAGAGTTTTGTCGTGCACATATATGATAGTTTAGATTAGAAATCTATGCTATGTAACTGCGGACTTCCAGCGCACACAATTTCCCTCTCCATTTTTACCAACACAGGGAATCTCTGTCTTTAAATTTATCCTTGGAGAGGGAGGCTGTTTTCCCCCTTGATTTCAAAAGGACGAGATTTACAAAGCCTTTCCAGGCACAGATGGTCGATAAATTTAGCTCCTTCAGCGAAATTCCGCATGGCACCGCCAGATGGCACAAGGATCGCCTTCCAATCTCCGTACCAACCCCACCCCTGTACTCCGTAAGTAATTTAGAAAAATTGAAAACCAAACACTTTTATATTTTATAGCCAAATGAAGTGAGAAGGTACTGGCACTCTTGAGGAGCTACATATTATGAAAATAAGCCTTGTTGGTTGTTGCTTTAATGTGGAACTTCCTCTTGAGATTTTACCCAAGAAAGTTTGCGAGGAAAATACTCATGCAGTGAAAGTGTTTGCAAAAACATTTCCTTAAAGCAAAGTGTGCACCAGAAGCACAGCACTACGCGAGTTAAAGAGGTAAGAGTAAAAGGCGTAAGAAGTGTTGTGTGCAGGGCTTCTTAGGGATTAAAATGAGATTGAGGGTGAACCTAAACTTCTTACCGAATGATCTTCCGTAGCAGAGCTTGGCTAGACCAGTGGGGCCGAGGTTGGATCAAGCTGCTGTTAGAGCAGCGTGGCTTTTTTGAAGGGTTCTTTTTGGCGTCCCAATTACAGATAGAGACTTTCTTTCCATTCACATGTCACTGTAGTCGGAGGCAACGCCTTTGTTTTGCCAACCCGGGCAGTGGCTTTGGGGATGGGACCCTGGAAAGTATTGACCTCCACTTCTCATGCCTTCGTCTTTATGAGTATATACGTTTTTCTGTTTGGGTTTATCAGGAAGAGGGGTGTTCGTGCTGCCCATAATTCAAGGCCAGACTTAGAGCTAATGGTATTTGCACAGGGGAGAAGGGAAGAAAGAAGAAAATACCCAAGAAAGCCCATTTACAAGTTGATGCTCTCTTCCTGGGAAGCTTCAGGTTTTCTTCTCTCATTTATACAAGCAGGACAATTGTATTTTTGCTTTCGATCATTCAACCCCATAATCTTGCATTTTAGAATTGCAATCAGCAGTTCAAAGTAGATCGTAAGTTGGCATATTTATTATCTTAGAAAATCTTTCTGAAAATAGCCATTAAGCCTTCACCTTACAAAAAGGAGGATTCATTGAGTTTGTTGCTTACGCTTTGTCTGTTGACTTTTGTTTCAGGAGAAAGTAATGATTAGGGTGCCCAGGTGAACTCACGTCTCCCTTGACATCCTAAATATGGGTAACTGTCTGACCTAATACCATATCCTTAGTGTCTGCGGAGCAAGAATCTGTACCAACTCCCGTTTCTAGTGATCAAACTGTCGGTAGGAAAACTCATCACACCCAGCCAAGTATACGTACAAAAATTGAATAAAATGCTTTAGAACTACCACTTCGGATTTCTTAGTTCAAGTTGAAACCATACATTTATTTCACTATTTGCACATCACCCCCTGCCCCCCGCCCCAAGTGAAGTTTGATCAGAGAGCATCTTACAGAGGCTAAAGGAAAAGCCAAACTTTTAGGGAGTGCTTATTTCTCTGAGGTAGTAAGAATGATGAGTAGAGGCAGAGAACTCAGCAACGAAACTCTCGGGCCACTTAGAAGAGAACCTTAAGTTTCTAAGCACAGTCTCGCTGCTCTTTTAGTGCTTATTTTCTGCGCTGCAGAAAAAGGAGCAAATTGTGTTTAAACAGAGGTGGAGCCTAGGGGCTCTCCAGGATTCTCCGGGGACCTCCAGGAGCTAGCAGCTCCTCTCCCTAATCTCTGTGTCTAAGTTTCTTTTACCTCCCCCCAATAAAAGCGGACCCAAAGGTGCTAATTTGGCGCCCCGCGTGCGGTGGGACCGCAGCTTTCGGGAGCTGGGCCGGCCCGCATGGAGAATGCCCGCGAACTGCGCGAAGGGCGCGCGGGGCAGCGGTCCCCGGGGGCGAGGGTCGCCCAGCTCTCCCCGGAGCTCAGTTCCCGACGAGAAGGTGGGCAGAAGGCGGGAAGCTGAATGGCCGCGGAGGCTGGCGGTCCCCCTGGCCCCTGCGCCAGCGCCTCTCCCCTTTCAGGGCCTCTTCCGGGCTGAGCCTTGGGAGTCGGTTTCCCCGGTCGCAGAGATTTCGCTCGAGCCCGCCCGGCGAGGCTGTAAATTACCCTCCCCGCCCAGACCCCCCCGGCCGCCCTCCGGAGCCGGGGCGGGGGCGCGGGGCCGCCGGGGGGCGCGGGGTCCGGCTCGCAGCCACCCGAGGCCAGCGGCCGCAGCTGGATCGGCCGCCTCCAGCGCGGCGGCGGGGGTTAAACGCCGTGAATCAATCAATCAGCCCACGCAGCCCTCCCCGAAACCCGGAGCGGCGCCCGCCGGGCCTGCTTTGTGTCTCGCCCGCCTGCCTGCCCGGGGCCTGGGAAGCCGGGCCGGGCCGCTGCAGGGTCCGGGGGGCGCGGCGCGTTCCCACCAGCGGCCGAGGTGGCCTGAAAGCCACCCTATCTTGTCCCACCCGGTAACGGGGACAATTCAGGCCTAGGACAACTATGTCGCGCCGCTAGCCCCCTCCTTTGATCACTCCCTCTTGTCTTCCAACAGAATAAGGCCTACTCTCCTCAATCTTTCGCGGCAGCTTGAACCCCCAAGCCCTGTCATCCCCAAAAGAGCAGCGTGGCTGGGATTACGGAGATTAGTCCATAGCAACCAGGAACCCCGAGCAAGTCATAGTATCTTTCTGGGCTTCAGGTTCCCGTCTGTTTTAGTACCTGCATTTTTTGTCCAGCTCTAATGAATTTTTGTTTGGGGGTGGAGAAGCCTGAACCCCTTTGGCTGGGTGAGCTTCCAGAAGTTCCCTTTCCCCCTACGTTTATTTTTCCTGCAGCCCCCTCCCTCCCGACACCCCAGCTGGCACCAGGGCGTCCCAGAGAGCTCCTCCGGCCGCCAAGGGCGGGACCCTGCAACCTTTGAGGAGCTGAGCCCTTGGCCATGTTTGTTTCGGATATGCCACCAGTGGGCGATAGAGCCCAAGGATAGAGCAGCAAGGCTCCACAAGGTCTTTCCGAAAGTTTATCAAACTCGGAGTTGATTCCTTTTTCTATTTGTGTGACTTGTAAATGACGCAGAGTTATTTCTTTTAAGATTCCATTTGGTCATCAGCTCTGGATGCAGTCTGAGATTCATGGGGAATCAAGTACAAAAGCATTAATGAGAAACAGACTTGTACACCCCCAAGACCCAGCGGCCCAGCAAAATGCAGTGGAACGTGCGAAGTACTAACTTTAAATGCAAAACTCTGGTTCTGAGACTGAATACTCAGTGGGCTCGCAGGCTCTGAGAAAGCGATGGAGGCAAAGGCCAGAAGGCATTGAAACAGCGAGGACACACAGTAGTGGATATTTTCCTAATTTTTTTTGCAAACATTGGGTTCATTTTGGGATCCTGAGTAGGGGGTAGGCTGATGGGGTGGGAGAATGCAGAAGGAAGCAATTGAGAGAGAGACCTTCTCAGGCTGGGGGAGGAGGTGGGGATGGCTTAGGTTAGAGAGACCCAGTGCGGCGACGTTCGTAAATTCTGGAAAGTTTCTGTCTGAGTACAAAAGGGAAGAGCCACATCCTGGCCCCTGTCTGCGACTGCCCTGTCGGATAGTTCTTTCATTTGTTTGCTGCAAATGTATTACAATACGGATTACCCGGGCCTTAGAGCAAACTAGGACTTGTTCACTGCAAACAGCCAAAGGATCTTCGTGTTAGGCTGGAATAGCATCTTTCCCCACATGTGCAAGCCTCTTGGATTGTGTTTGCTTTCAAAGTCCATAAATGTTTTTATTAAACTGTATCTTTCTTGTGGCCCCTACACATATAAAGTATTCTCGGCGTATGTAATCGCTTCCATTTTGGTCCTCCTTTAGGGAAACTTTGTAACTCGGCAGTAAATATTTGCTCTAGGGTGAACCTTGGCAAGCCAGAGCTAAAGCCTAAAATCTGGTTTCACTGTATGTGTTTGTGTGCACGCGTGTATGTTTTAACAGTGTATGTATATATATTGGAAAATTGGCGGGAGAGCTTGGTATTTTTACTTCGTTGCTGCACATGGGGAGGTATAATGACTGTAATTACTTGGATGACATTTAAAAATTAACAAATTCTCTTTCAAATTCGATTCTTCCTTGTGTGCCGCCAGCCCCCTCTCCCCCAATCATGTCAATTAAATGTTCTTACAGTGTCACCCTTTATAACACCCTTTAATGTAGTGATTTTGGAGGTATATTTTAAAGCAATTAAATGTAGTTTTGGCTTCCTAAATTATGCCTTAATAATAAGAATGTAAAAATATCAAACAAATCATGATCTTTATTGTTCTTTTCATGTTTATAGTTTTATTTCCTTTAACGTTTTAATTTGTAAGCCGTGCCAAAAAATTTCAGGGAGAAAAATGACAGCTCAGTAATATGGCGCAGATGGAATTAGAATTTTGGATTCTCATCCCTGGAGGAAAGTTTGAGTTGAAGCTCTTCCTCTGTAAAGAAAGGGACTTTAGTTTTATGAAGAC